GCAGTGGAGCTCGGTCAGCCCCTTTAAAAAATTGATATACATGCAGAAACAGGTTTGGCTCAGTGGGTAGAGCGTCGGCCTGCGGACTGAAAGGTCCCAAGTTCGATTCCAGTCAAGGGCATGTACCTTAGTTGCGGGCACATCCCTAGTGGGGGGTGTGCAGGAGGCAGCTGATTCTTTCTCATTGATGTTTCTACAATAACTCTCTATCCTTCTCTTTCTCTATGTAAAAAATCAATAAAAATGTATTAAAAAATTAATATACAACTTATAGGTAATAAAATTCACCCCATTAAGGTGGATAATTCAGCGGTTTTCAGTATATTCACAACATTGCCCAACCGTCACCACTGTGTAGTTCTAGAACATTTTATCACCTTACACTATACCTCAGACCCATGAGTGGTCACTGCTATTCCCTCCTCCCACAGCTCTGCACAACCACTAACTATAATACCTTCTGTCTCCAGATTTGCCTGTTCTGGGCATTTCACTTAAATGGAATCATACAATACCTGGCCCTTTGTGTCCAGATTCTTTCACTTAAGTGCTCCGTTTTTGAGGTTCATCTGCGTTGTGGCATTCTCACTACTTCACTCCTTTTCACGGCTGAGCAATATTCCCTCCTGGGAAAGACCACACTTTGTTTTTCCAGCCGCTGGCTAATGGGCAGTTGGGTTATTCCACCTTTGGGCTGTTGTGAGTGATGTTTTTCATTCCTCTGGGTTGGTTTTCCCAGTAGCTCTTTGCAGTGGCCAGCTGTCTCCATTCCTCTAGCATGGCTGTTTGGGAAGCGAGAGGAAGCAGAGCCCAGCGTGGTGGCTGGCAGGAGGCTGGTGTCCGGGGAGACGCAGATGCCGACAAGGGGAGGGAGGGCCCACTGCCATCTGGTGGGAGGTGGGTATTTCCCCTGTGGATTATTAACCGACGGTTATGATCCTGAGAGTAGATCCCTGGGGCTAGAATTGGTGCTTAGTTGAGATGCCAGAAATGTTTTCAAAGACATTTAAATGGTCCTGGACCCTTGGTTCTCTCTCTACAAGGGGACCAGATCGCCATTTTATGAGTCACGGTAACAGTAAAGATGACGATGATGATGATTATAATAATGGTCTACATTTATATAGGTCTTTATTTTTCATTTCATAGCCATTACTTTTAATTCCTTAGAACCTTGTCACCCCCATCTGCAGATGAAGGAACTGGGACACAGAGATGGGAGGTGACCAAGGTCACACACAGTGGGGAAGCAAGAAGAGCCAGACTTAAACCCAGGAATCTCGTGATTCGTGGGGTGGGCATTTTCATAGAAGTGTGTGAGGGATGATGGCTGCAAGGGTCTCAGATGGTCTGAGGCAGAGCCAATGGAGGTTGAAGTGAGAACCCTGGATGCCTGGGTGCTGAAAGTGGGGTCCTTGTCCTCAGGGCCTGTCCAGTTCCCTATAAACAGCCCCGTTTGGATGACTTGTCTTTTGGTTTTTCAGCTTCCCCTCCAGGCTCTTTGATCATTTCCTCCTGAGATTTGCATTTGGCTAAAGCCAGTTAGCACCTCTCCGGGCCTCCCTAAGCCCTCCCCGACCGCCCAGGCCCTGGGAAGGAACCATGGACACAGGAGCTCAGTGCATGTGGATTCAGGAGGGAGGCACGCTGAGTGGGCAGTGCCCTGACCCCCTTAGGCGGGAGGAGGGCTCCTGTCCAGTCCATTCACACCTGCTCTCACCCCCCTTCTCTTAGCTGAGCGAATGGTCTTCCTCTCCTCCTCGGCCTTCTCTCTGCCCTCCTTCCCCCTCCGCCCCTCCCATCACCAGCCCCTCCTCCTGTGCGTCCCTGCATGGGTCCGGGACCCTGAGTCCTTAGAGCTGCGGGTGGGCATTTGGCTGTCTTGGTTGAAGGGGCAGTTTCCAATCTCACTGATACATGTCAAGATCCCTGTGGGCTGCTAGAAAGATGTTACAGAGACTAGTGAGGGTCCCACCTCTGCTAATAATTTAGTCTTTTTAAAAAATATATATTTATTGATTTTACAGAGAGGAAGGGAGAGGGATAGAAAGTTAGAAACATCAATGAGGGCAAACCGGTTTCAGCAATAATTTACTCTTTACTTATAAAAATTAGATCAGATTCAAGGTCACCCCTTGATAGACTCAGGTCACTCTCACCTACTCATGTGTGACATTTGCCTGAGAAAGGGCTGGAATTACTGTCTTATCTCAGTACCAGTCAGTAGCCGGGGCCGGCTGGCTGTCCTTGGGAGGGTGGCTGACACTCGAATGTCATTGGTGGTGGAGGCTGGGGCAGGACAAGGTGAGGCCCAGCTGACCACAGCAGGAGCACGAGGCTGAAGCAGGGATTTATTTCATCCTTGTTTTGGGTCCTCTGGTTACAAAGCCAAGGCCAGAGCCTGGGACGTGGGCAGCGTTTTTGTTTCCTAGGGCTGCGGTAGCCAAGCAGCACCAACGGGGGCGGCGGGTTTGAAACAACAGACATTTACTGCCTTCGTCCTGGAGGCTGGAAGTCCAAAGTCAAGTGTCGGCAGGGCCAGGCTCCAAGCATCGCGTGGGAAATCCTTCTGGTGGGAGACACCCTGTGCTCCCACTTGACAGTCCTCACTGGTCCCTGGAGGTGACTCCAGCATCCGGGGCACACAGGCTGGCGCAGGGGAGAGGGGCTCAGTCCAGGGAGGGTTTGGTACGGGGGCCCTTTGTCTGGGATGCAGGGACCTTGGAAAAGAATCGCATCTGCTCTGGTCTCACGGGAGTGGACATCGTGGGCCTTATGGACAGACCCATGTACACGGGCGTCCCTGATCACAGGTGTAACACCTGCCAGGATTGCCCTCCCCTAGAGTTTGTGTGTTTGGAGAGCCAGGGCAGCTATTGGTCAAGTTCGCCCACAAGCCACCTCCGGGGGCGTAGGCCAGAGGTCCTCAGCTAACCCGCAGGGGTCCTATAGACTCTGATTTTGGGGGGGAAGGGGGCTTGCCTCCCTTCCCTCCCTACATGCATTTTCCTTCTAGGTCCCCAGCCCCTGAGGGGAGCTGCCTTCCTCTGTCCTCACCTCAGGGACCTGAGGGTGGTGCTCTTCATCCCTTCTCTGTCCCCACCACGGCTCTCAGGGGTGCAGCCCTAGAGGAGGGACCGTGGCTGCTTGGGAGAGGGCAGAGTGGCAGGAGGGGTGGGCCTGAGTGGACCCAGCTCTGTCAGGCCCACAGGCAGGGGAGGGCCGGAGTAGCCAGGCTGGGTCCCATTGTGGAAGGGAAGGTTGGTGGTTCTGGCGGAAAGCTAGAAGAAGCTGTGTTCATTCGTGTGTGTGTGTGTGTGTGTGTGTGTGCATGCGTGTGTGTGTGTGTGTGTGTGTGTGTGTGTGTACATGTGCTGAGTCTTGACCCTGCTGGTTCTTAAGCTAGCTATAGTCTGGTTCAGGAGGGAGACCCTCTCTCCAGCCATCAGAATGAGGCAGGCCAAGGTCAAAAGAGGAAATCCCGGCCTCGTGGTTCAGTGGTTGAATGTAGACCTATGAACCAGGAGGTCATGGTTCGATTCCCAGTCAAGGGCATATGCCCGGGTTGCAGGCTCCATCCCCAGAAGGGTGCATGCAGGAGGCAGCCGATCAATGATTCTCTCTCATCATTGATGTTTCTATCTCTCTCCCCTCTCCCTTCCTCTCTGAAATCAATAATAAGTATATTTAAACACACACCACACACACACACACACACACACACACACAAAGAAAGGAGGAGGAAGGCAGATGGAGGAGCAGAGGGCGAGTTGGCAGGATGGGGTTAAGGGTCACAGGGAGCCTGTCCCAGCCAGATGTCCACTCAGCCTCCTTGTCGTGCTTCCTGGAGGACAGGCTGCGGGGCAGGCAGGGCTTGTGTCAGGGTGGACAGGGCCCGGGGCACTGGCCTGGCTCCTCTTAGTCTGGGCCTGTCTGGCTGAGAGGAGCTGGGGCCCGGGACAAGGTGTGCTCTGGGCAGAGGGGTGGGCTTCTCTCAGGAAGGAGGTTGGGGTTGGAGCTGTGACCCCCTTTGGCAGTACATGGGCTGCAAGGCAGTGCAGAGCATTCTCTCGAGCTGGCAGGGGGTGTTCTTTGGTCATTTAAGGAGGACCAGGTGTTGGGGCTGTCAGCAGCTTCAGGCTGGGGCTGTGGAGAAGGAAGCATTTGCAAAGTTGGGGGTTGGATGGTTCATTCTGATCTTTTGAGGCTCCTTGTACTGTGGCCCTTGCCTTCCCTCCCGTCCCAGGATATGACTGGGGCACGTCCGGGACGCCAGAGTCCCTCGTCCGGGGACTCCCGGGGTTCTGCCCAGCTGGCCATTGCGTAACCACTGCCCGGAAGCCTTATCCAGCTGCAAACATTCTGCCTGGAGATCAGACTGTGCGCCAGCACTCCCTGGTCACTGGAAGGGCCAGATGGAAAGTGGAGGGTGTGGGAGAGCGGGGAACCTGTCGAATCATGTTGTCATGGCGACACAACTCTGTTTAGCAGTCTCCCCATGGCCCTAGCCCACAGGGGCTAAAATAAGTTTTACCTGCAGCTCACACAGCAGGCAGCCCCTCCACCCAAGGCCAGCTGCCTGGCTGGGGTGCGTGTGTGTGTGTGTGTGTGTGTGTGTGTGTGTTGAGGGACGAAGGGGCCACGCCTTGCCCCTTCTTCTCCACCCAGCCCCACCAATCCTGTATCTCTTTAGTCCCGTGGCTCTAGATTCTAGAACCACCTGAAGAGACGGTTAAAATGCACATTCCGGGGCCCCGTCACCTGAGAGTCCCCGGGTGCACCTGAGAATTTGCATGTCTCGCAAGTCCCCGCTGCTGGAGCAGGGACCACACGGGGAGCAGCCCTGCTCTGCGTTTTACTCCATCGCAGTCAGGAGGGGCACCCACTCTGGTTTGCTCAGTGTGTGTCGGACGGTGCCCCCAAGCCCAGCGCTTTGGAGGAGCGGGGACGGTGCAGGCGGGCCCCACTCACCTCTCCTGTGTTCTCTGGCCTCCTCACAGGAAGCAGGAGCTGGCCAACAGCTCCGATGTGGCCCTGCCGGACCGGCCGCTGTCCCCTCCTCTCACGGCACCTCCCACCATGAAGGTAAGAGGCTTAGAGCTGGAACTGGGGAGGGGCGGGAGAGGGTGCCGCTGAAGGCTCTGCTTTGTTTCCGCACCGGGCCCAGCTGCGCCTGCCCAGTGAGGGTACCGGGTGCCCAGCCTCCTCTGGAAGCAGCGTTCCCCTGAGCTCAACAGCGGGAGGGAGGTGTGACTGGGACTCAGGGGTGTTAGGTGAGGAAATAGACTGGGCTGAGGGGGGCTGGCGGGATGCTGGGTAATCAGTGAGAGGCCTTGTAGAACCGTGGGGTTCCGGAACAAGGGCCCCAGGCAAGAGTCAGTGGGAGAGGTTTAGAATGAAGCTGCAGGCTAGTGCCTTAAGGGGCTACTGCCCAGGCGGGCTGCCAGGGCCTGGGGATAGGAAAGCAGGGGTCCCATGGGTTGGGACCCTCCTGGTTATTTTTTTTTTTAAGACATTTTAGATATGGCTTTTAATTTGATTTCTGAGAGGAAGGGAGAAGGAGAGAGAGATGGAAACATCAATGACGACAATCATTGATCGGCTGCCTCCTGCCTGCAGCTGTGACCTCTTGGTTCATGGGTCATTGCTCAACCACAGAGCCACACACTGGTCAGGCCTCTCCTGGTTCTTGAATGGAACTTGCATGCAGGTCTACCTGCCTCCGACTGGCCTTCTTGGGCTGGCCCTGCCACCCCAGTACCGGGAGAGTGCCTTAGAGGTTCTGGGTGATTCTTTTCCTGTTAACATTTTATTCACAATCTGTCTCCTGGGAAATCACATCCCAGGTCCCCATGCCCAGCCCCATCTCATTCCTGGAAAGGGGCTGAGGGGTGGCACCCTCTCCCCCATAATGCCCCTCCCGCTTTACCCTTGACCCCCTTGGTGGCATGGTCACCCACACCTGATGTGGCTCTCAGGGAGGAATTGGCTCAGGCAGTGTCCCTGCCTAAGCAATGCACCACCCTCCATCCGTCTCTCCCTCCCTTGCATTTTGCCAGGTGAGGACTAGCTTTGAAGAGGTCGCCGCTTCCTGAATCAGCTGAGGGGACATGTAGGCCAGCCTCCGGCTCTGTCCTGGAGCTCTGCTGTGAGGTGACTCACAGGGAAATAGGGCTCTTCTCTCCCCTGATCTGGAACTTGTAGCCTAGCCAGGGAGACAAGAGTTGGAAAAATAATTTTAAGAATGAAGGATGGATAGTTCGGTGTGATGATAATTAGGGCTGCTCTCTGCTGCACCCCCTCTTCCCTGACCTGATCTGTTGCAAAGTGATATCCCCAAAGAACGCGGGTAAAAAACCATCTTTCCATTATCACCCATATTAAATGCCCACCATCACAGAGCTGTGTGGTAAGCACTGAGGGGCAATATCTCTGAATGGCAGCAGCGCCTGCCCTGGTTGGACTAGGATTCAGGAGTGGGTGGGGCATAGGGCTGACTGAGGACCTCTCTGCTCTCCTCCTTGTGGGGTGCCCTAGGGGGCACGGACAGCCAGAGGACCTTCATCAGCCCAGTCGCAGTGCTGGCATCTGAGCCAGGGGCTGGGTGCCTTGTTTGCACGGCGGATTGAGAAGCCTGTGGCCATCTTGCACGTTGGTCTGCAAGATGGGGTGCGGGGTGCTTGTCTCTGTGCTCATGGATGGGGGGAGGGAATGTGCAGGGAGAACTCTGCAAGTTTCCTAGGACGAGTCACTGAGTCCTCCTGGCAGTCTTCAGTTGCTCACATGCTCATGTAATTCATTCAACACCCAATATTTATTTGAATGTTGTATTAGTCAGGACTCTTGGTTTCAAGGGACAGAAACATAACTCACTTGGGCTTAAGAATAAATGAGAATTTATTGCCTTCATAATGGCTTTCTACTTCTTTGCTGTACTGGTTTCATTTTGTTGTTAAACTCTGTCTCTGTGATGACAGGAATGTGACAGCTGCTCCTACTTGCTAAGTGAAGAGTCTCTTTTCCCCAGTAGTTCTAACAAAAGGCCCAGGGAGGAAGCTCATTGGCCTTGCTTAGGTCACGTGTCTATCTCTGAACCAATCATAACCAGAGAGATGGAAGGCTCTGACTGGCTAGACGTGGCCTCGTCTCCACCACCTAAACCCTAAGGACCAAGCGTGGGAGAGGGGTGGCTCCTCAAAGGGAAATTCAGGTGTTACGACGAGAAGAATGCTGACCATGTGGCATTGTGGTCCTTGTTGTGGAACTTGTAGTCTAGCTAGGGAGACAAGAGTTGAAAAAAATAACTTTAAAAAGGAGGGATGGACCGTTCGATAGGAATATTCCAAAGACGTACAGCATAACAGGGGAACAGTGTAAGGTCTGTGGAGGGGGAATCTAACCTAATCTTGGAGAGTGTCAGGGAGGGCTTCTTTGAGGAAACTATGTTTAAGCTGAACCTTGAGGGTTGAGTAGGAGCCAACTGAGGGTGGAGGAGGGTGTTCTAGGTGCTTCCTACTCAGTGAGGCCAGGAGACCACAAACACCTGCATCACTTGGGAAGCTCCGCAGAAGTGGAGAATCTCGGACCTCCCTCCAGGCCACTGGATCGGAATCTGCACGTTAGCACCATCCCCATTCATATGTACTTTACACTCAGGAAGCCCTGCTGTGGCCTCTGAAATGCTCTGTGGCAGGAGAGCCATGGCTTCTCCAACCAGAAGACCCGCATGGTCAGAGCACCCACAGTTAGGGATGGAGGGACAGACCCTTGGAGGTTCTGCTGAAGATATCGCGCTTCTTCCTGCCGAAGGGCAACGGAATCATTGAAGGTTTCAGTCGGAGGAGTAAGATGATGGGGAAAATCACCGTGGCTGTTGTGTGGAGAGGGTGTAGAAAGGAGCAGAGTGGAAAGTGGGAGATGAGTCGGGAGCTTCTGCAGGAGTCCAGTGAGGAGAGGATGGTGGCCTGACTCTGAAGGGCCTGGGGCCTTATTTGGGAACAGTCAGATCTCAGATCTCCTACCGGTAGACTGTAGGAAATAGGAGGATCTGGGAGAGGTGGGATCCACTGGATCGATGGTACAGCCATTCTCTGAGATGGAGGGACCCAGAAGGGAGGGCGAGGGCTTGGCTTCTAAGTGCTGGATTGGACATACTTGAGACACGAAAGGGGATGTCAGTGAGTGGCTGGGTATTTTGGGGGCCAGGTTTAGAAGGAAGGTCTGGACTGGTCCTTTTCATAGAGATGGGATTGAAGCTTGGGGTAGGAGTGGGGGTCATGGGGCAGTGAACTCTCCAGGGAGAGGATGGAGTAAGAAGATTCCTGGGATAGCACCTGGAGGGACTCAGGGCTGATGCGGAGGAGGCTAGACACACAGTGAGAGGAGCATTCACAAAGGAGGGGCGGCTGGCGGCTGTGTCCGCTGCTCCAAGAGGCCAAGTACAGTGGCCTTGGGGCTGAGTGCCCAGGTTGCCGCGGCTGATGTAACTGAGAAGGGCTGTGTGGAGGGAGGGAAGAGGGTGGACACTAGACTGGGTGTGTGAGGAGCAAGTGGGGATGGTGCAGGAGTCAGAGGGTCTAGACAACGCTTGTGAGATGGGAGGCTTGAGCGTGTGGAAATGCTGAAGGGGAGGGAGCAGGGTGTACGGAGATACAGGAGAGAGGGGTGCTGATGGAGAATTTGGAGCACAGGGAAGACATTATTAGTTAACAATGACTCATGAAAAAAGTTATTTATGAACATCCGTTGGATGCTGGGCCTAATTTGCTCTGGCCAGCACAGGGGTCCGGCCAGCTGTCAGGGGTTAAGGCTGGCCTGCGTGAGACCCCAGGCAGCCTCAGAGCAGAGCAGCCACCTGCAGGGATATCTTAGTGACCCACCGTCAGAAGGCAGCCCTACCCCCGAGAGCTCTGTCCTTCTCCTCTTTGAACTCAGCTCAGGAATTTCCCAGCCTGGGACTTGACTGTCCAAAGCCCCAAGACCAAGGTCAAGGCTGGGAACTCAGAAAGATTCCAGGGGTTGCCCTGGGGACTCACCCTTGGTTAGGACCCTCCTGTGGTTGGCATTGGGAGGTCAGTGTGTGGTATACCTGGACTTAGGGGTCTCTTTGTGATTGTCATTTGGGCTTATTCTATAGTTAGATGCCGGTCCACGGCTAGGACTTTAAAAAAATTCTCATCTGAGAATATGCTTTTATTGATTTTAGAGAGAAAGAGCGGGAGAGTGAGAGTGGGAGATAGATAGATAGAGAAACATTGATGTGTGAGAGAAGCATCTATTAGTTATCTCCAACACTTGCCCCGACCAGGGATTGAACCTGCAATGTAGGTATGTGCCCTGACCGGGAATGAAACCCAAAACCTTTTGGTGTACAGGATGACACTCCGCTAAGCCACACTGGCCAGGGCGGGACACTTTTTTTCTCTTTGTGCAAAGCTAACTGATCCATGTGGGACTTAAAACCAGCACCCTCACTTACCTCACCAGCCTGCTCACCACAGAGGGCGGGCCCTTGGTGGGATGGCACTTACCAAGTCTGTGGCTGGTTGCGCGAAGCTTCTCTCCATTGAGTTCCTGGAGGCAGCAATTGTCCTGCTCTGCAGACCCCGGTCCTTGCCGGGGAGGCTGGGTGGCAGCTGTTTGTGGTGTGATGACCGGAGGGACGTCCAGGTCAGAGGAGCCTTCACTTGATCTTCCATTTCTCTGGTTTGGCTTGAATCTTCTATCCCAGCTGAGCCTCTGTGTCCACGTGATACTTCTCTAAGTTAAGCTCCTAGACACAGGTTCTTCAAGATGGGACAGAGCCCCATCTCCCCCATCCGTCTCACATGGGATCATATGCGCAGACCGGGGTTCCCACTGGCTATGAGGGCAGAAAAGGCCTCTGACCTCCCAGGTTGTTATTTATTTATTTTTAAAATATATTTTATTGATTTTTTTTTTTTTACAGAGAGGAAAGGAGAGGGATAGAGAGTTAGAGACATTGATGAGAAAGAATCATCGATCAGCTGCCTCTTGCACACCTTCTACTGGGGATGTGCCCGCAACCCAGGCACATGCCCTTGACCGGAATCGAACCTGGGACC